CATTGTTTTATCTATAATAATCTTTGATACTGCATAATTCTATAAAGAAAATTTTGAATTTATTTTAATCACAAGTCTGAAAAAAATTTTATCAACTATAATCGAAAAAGCTATTACTTTTTTTATTCAATTTGTTAAACAATATCAATAAAAGTGGCTCTAACTAAACAAAGAAGAAAAACAGTTACTAAACCTAGTAAAAAAAAAACAACTAAAAAAATAACAACTAAACCAACAACAAAAAAAAACAAAATCTAGAAAAAAGATAACCAAAACAACAAAAATAGTAAAAACAATACCAATAATTAAAAAAAATATAATAAAAAAAAATAAAAATTGTAATAATAGTTGTAGGTGTTGCTATATTAATAAACCAGAACTCTGTAGTTCAAGTTGTATCTGTTGCTTCTTTGTTACAAATAAAAATATTTTCACAATAAGATTAGAATAAATGGCTAGACCACAAGTGAGTTTTTGTGCACCAATAGATGAAGAGTTAACTGAACTTGAAAAAACCTGTGATGTAAAAACTTATATAGCCGAACAAACAAAATATAATTTTTTTATTCAAAGAAGAAGAAATAAAGTTAATCTCAAGACACTAGCACTAATAGTACAAGGACAGGGTACTTTACTTAGATGGCCTCAACTTTATTACACATCTTCTTTATTATTTCAAGATATAAATTTCAATCAAAATACAACAAATAAATATTTGTTAGATTTCTATCAAATCATGCGATTGAATATCTTTGAACATAGGAATTCAACTCAAATTGGTGGTGTTAATCAAGGAAGTTCAAGATATAAATTTCCATTAGCTCAAGCACAAGGGATCAAGATATCAATGATATGTATACAATTAATCTAATTAGAAAAACTTTTAATATCAGAGCATTAATTCTTCAGGTGAGAACAACTTGTGAATTATCACTTAGTCAAGCAGTAATACCAGATAATAGTTATTTACTAGTAGAAAATATATTCGAAGATATTAATGATTTAATTAATAGTCTAGTCAAATGAAATTATAATATTGTATATAATAAAATCGAACAAATAAAATATTCAAAATGTGATTATGAAAAAATATTATGTTTTATATAGAAGATAGAAAAACAATAGTATCTTACCTATACAAATAATACACAAGAAAATGTATTTGTTCAATTTAATACAGAATTCTTCTGGTTCATAACTGTATTGGATATCAATGAATTATTAAGATATTTAAAATATATAAGCAATAAAGATGAAAGGTCTAGATATAATCTTGGTGCTGCTTTTGCTCCTTCACATACAGATAGTCATTTAAGAGAACCTTGTGCCATGGTATTAAAATTTAATTAAACATATAGATGAATTGATCTTAATCAAAATTTTGCTTTAGCAATTACAAGATTGGGAGATCAAATTAATGAATTAAAACGAAAACTTGAAGAAGATGCTGAAGAACATGAAAAAAAAAGTAAATATTTTCATTATTTGTTATTTGTTTTTTTATTATTTAATTAATTAATATTTAAGAAATAATACAGATAAATCAAATCCAACACCAATTTCTCCATCCAAAGATAATAATAGACAATTACCTACAACAATAATTAATACTTCAACTACAACTATTAATCTACTCACAACAACAATTAATACTCCAACTACAACTATTAATCTACCTACAATAATTAATACTTCAACTACAACTATTAATACACCAATCGTAACTACTCTTTTACCAAGACCAACTAATTTTCCAAAAATTATAACAACAGAAACATCTACAACAAGTAAACCACCAACAACTTTAACAACAATTATCAAATCTTCTTCTGTGAAACTAACATCTATAACAACAACTTTATCAACTCCAAAGATTAATTTTATTAGTTGTCCAATTTGTAAAAATGAATTTAAAGAAAATGAAATTGAACTACATTTAAAAGAATATATTAAAAATCCTTTATCAAAAGATACTGTTCATAATAAATTAAAAATGAAAAAACAATCAATTGCATTTGATAAAATGAAAGAATTAGTTAGTAAACTTACAGATATTCAAGTTAAAGAACTTATTGATAGAATTTAAAAACTTATTGTGTGGCGACATAGTGCAGTTGGCAAGTTGTCACCCCCAAATGGCAGGTCTAGGGTTCAAATCCCACTGGCGACGAT